GCCATGATGCCCAGCCACAGAATTCAGATTTTCAAGTTAGGGATACTCATCCGATTTCCAATCCCATTATTAAAGTCAAGTCTGTGGCAATTCTAATGCAAAATACAACAGTAGATGGGATTATCTGTAAACAAGGCACGGGATAAAAAAAACATTGGGGATCTAAGCAGAAGTTTAAAGAATTGGTTTTGACCTGGGTGACTTCAGGAGATTCCAGGTTTCCCTGAGTTCTATTATTTTCGTGTTTCTTAAACATTTTTCTCTTCTCTCTTTTTTTCTTTTTTTGCAGTTTTTGGCTGGGCTGGATTTGAACCTGCCACCTCCAGCATATGGGGCCAGGGCCCTACTCCTTTGAGCCACAGGTGCCGCCCTTTCTCTTCTCTCTCAAAAGTGAAAAACTTCACAAATTTGGTGTTGTTCTATGCAACTTGCCTTGGAGTTCAATCATCCCCAATTCCTAGGTTATCTCAAAACACCTAGGTGTTCCGCTTCAGATAAATCTAACAAAACTGCTTGAAACATTTTTTTTTTAGAGACAGAGTCTCATTTTGATGCCCTCAGTAGAGTGCCATGGCATCACAGCTCACAGCAACCTCCAGCTCTTGGGCTTAAGCAATTCTTTAGCCTCAGCCTCCTGAGTAGCTAGGACTACAGGTGCCCACCACAACACCTGGGTAGAAACAAGTATTTTGATGTTGAAATAAAATTCAGTAATTTTCAATAGACATTTTTAGCATGAATTATCTGAGAAGCGTGGTGTCAGTTCTGGGATATGAAGGGTAAGATATGGCACTTCCCCAGAGGAGCTCAGGCTAGGAAGGTTCAGCGTGACTGATGCCAGGTTGTACTGAGAGGTCCCAGCACAGGCACCTAACCCAGTGGGGGTGCAGCGTGTGAGGGAGGTCAGGGAAGCTTTCTCAGAGGAAGTGACCTCTGAGCTGAGGCCAAAAGACACACCAAGGGGTTTGGAAGGGAGAGACAGAGCACTTACCATGGCGGAGCAAGTTCTAAGAACTTGAGTACACTTCACTCTGACCTCAGTGGGCAGAAGTAAGTGGAGGCCTGACGCTTGAGATGGGAGGGCCTGGCAGTCACTTCAGGAAATTTAAACTTTATTCCCTCAGATAAGAGGGACCCATTTAAGGATTTTAAGTGACACAGTGATAAAAGATCTATATTTTAGGACAATGACACCAGCTGCTGAGAAAAAAGCACAAAACGTGGAGCCCAGTTAGGAGGTTCGGAGTGATCCCACAAAGGGGGCTGGGCCTGTTTAAGGTGGTGGCAGGTGGGAAGGGTGATTGACAGGCCGTGGCAACTGGCCAGATGTCTGAGTGGAGGAAGAGGTTGGGATCTGGGCCACAGAAGGGGCCCCTGTAGTATTCAAGACAGACAACACAGGCAGAGGGGCGCCTGAAAGGTCAGAGGGAGGTGGGGAGCCCAGGATAGTCGGAAGGGCCCATGGGTGTGCAGGTGGGAGGGTGACGGGTCATTGGCTGTGTGGCTCTCGAGTTCAGATCAGGGTTGATGTGCAATGACCAGCCGTGAGGCTCATTCCCATGTCCCTGAGAACCTGTGAGCCGCACCGCTGTGCTGCAATCACTCTTGGAGCTCATTTCTCACCTGTTTGTTTCCTTACTGAACATGCCCATGAACTAGGAGGTGGAGTAGAGGACAGGACACGGCCTAAGAATGGATAAAATCCATCCAGATGGAGGAGGGAAAGGGGGTTTGGGTTTCTGCAAAGCATTTCAAAGAATGACGTAAGCTGCAGGGCCAGGTATCTTTTACTCAGTGGTAACCAAATAATTTGGCATGTTTCAGAAATATGATTTCTGATGTCTTCCCTCATCCCAAGTTTTCAACCCCCTTCTGCCTGGGCAAACCTCCAATCTGTATTCAAAGCCTCTTTGTCCAGTAGCTTCTCATGAGCTCTGTTTTCTCAACTGGAGAAATGAAGCCTTGGCAAAAGTGTTTTTCCCTTGATTTGAATTTATCAACTGGCTAATTTCTTGACCTCTATATTTTTGCCATTCTAGGTAAGAAACAATAATAAAGGACATAGTAATCTTTACACATGCTCTCACCTCCCCAAATGTTCACTGGATTTTATAATTAGTCTACACCCAGTGATTCCTTGAACTTCATACCTCTCATGGAGCAGAGATACAATAAATTACTCAAGGGGGTAAATACACAGAAATTACCACATCAAGAATGGGGTCTCGGGCGGCACCAGTAGCTCAGTCGGCAAGGGCACCAGCCACATATACCTAGGGTGGTGGGTTCTAACCCCGCCCGGGTCTGCTAACCAACAATGACAACTGCAACCAAATAACAGCCAGGTGTTGTGGCAGGCTCCTATAGTCCCAGCTACTTGGGAGGCTGAGGCAAGAGAATCGCTTAAGCCCAAGAGTTGGAGGTTGCGGTGAGTTGTGATGCCATGGCACTCTATCCCAGACAATAGCTTGAGAATCTGTCTCAAAAAAATAAATAAATAAAAAAAGAATGGGGCCTCTCTGGGAGGCTCAGGTAGGAGGATCACTTGAGGCCTGGGCAACTGAGCATAATCCTGTCTCTAAAAAACAACCAAAAAAAATAAAAGAATGGAGCCTACTGGCTTACTAAAGGTTACGCATTTGTGATTCGGAATCTCACTCACTTAAACCCACTGCATTCTGGACCATCAGCTTGGTCCATTTACCAAAAGGCATAAAGCAGACATTTAAAATAAAAATCTACATTCATGATCCACTGCCAGATGTGAACTACTACACATTGTCCATAGTGTGCAGTCCCAATCCTGCTCTTCAGCCTGACCCACAATTTACGAACGAGAATCACAGAACTGAAAGGTCCAGAGCGCCTCATCGCCCTTGGCTCAAAAGCACCAGGCTGACCGGTCTTCCTGATGGCAGAGCCTGGCAGGGGCTCCCGGCTGACTCCACGTGACTGATGCTTTTGGGTGGGCTGGAGAATGAAGGCAGGAGCTTTGGTTCTGCCTCCTGGCTGGAAAGCAGCCCATCTTCCCACAGCGTCTCCCACCACGTTCCTGGTCAGTCCTCATGGGTAACACGGAGCCCCCAGGTGGGGAACTCCCAACAGACTTCTCTACCATTCTCACCCACACCTTCGCTTCCTATCACACGTGGCTGGGTCTATGAACTCCCCCTTTCCAAGGTCATCTCAATCTGAGCCCTTCCGGCAATGCCCCCCATGGCTCCAGGGGCAGGGGCCGTATGCCCCATGTCCTTCTCTCTGCTCCTGCACATCCCCGCCTTGCCCCTTGCTCTCCTTCACCTACACACCTGCTCCTATCTCTTTATCCGACCGAAGCAAACAATCCTCTCCTCCTGTCTCCTCTTCAGGTCATCTTATTTAACCCCACATCTGACAGGCCGGTCACCTCCTGCTATTTTTTTGGGGGGAGGGAGTTCTCCTATATTAATTTTGTCATTGACCTCTTGAGCGTCTCTTCTACTCAGTCTTCAAATGGGGGCTTCACTGTTACTTTTGTTTTTCTTTGTATCTCACTCTTACTTTACTAACTTCCTTCGGCGTTCCTGGTAGTCGTACGTGTAAACATCATGTAAGACAGAAAGCGTGTGTCTCTGAGGGTTTCATTCCCACGCCAGACTTTTCTCTTGAGTGCTCGTCCTGCGTCTCCTGGCTCTGTTCAAGCAGCTGTCCCCCAGACACTTCACATTCAGTGCACTCAAAACTGCAATCATCTTTCCTCCCACCACAGCCCACTTCTCCTGTGCTCAAGTAATGGCACTAACACACGTATTCAGGCCATACTGGCAGGAGCACACGGCTTCCTCCTCTCGGAATCACCTTCTCACCAGTCTGCATCAGCTTTGTCCCTCACCTCTAGCCCGGACCACCTGCCCTCCCCAGGGTCACAGCCCAGCAGGCCCTAATCCCTCACCTAGAGAACCGACTCACCTTCACTAGATGGCATAATCAGCTAAAGCAGTGGTTCTCAACTTTCCTAACTGCTGTGACCCTTTAATACAGTTCCTCACGTTGTGGTGACCCCCAACCATAAAATGATTTTTGTTGCTAATTCATAACTGTAATTTTGCTACTGTTATGAATCGTAATGTAAATATCTGATATGCAGGATGTATTTAGGCAACCCCTGTGAAAGGGTCGTTCAACCCCTTTTTAACAATGAAAGTACACTGCGGCATTAGGAAGGTTGAGAACCACTGACTTAGTTCATTTCCCTGTTTAAAAAAAGTAACCCCCCTTGGCTTGGTGCCTATAGCACAGTGGTTACAGTGTCAGCCACATACACTGATGGTGGCGGGTTCAAACTCAGCCTGGGCCGGCTAAACAATGACAACTGCAACCAAAAAATAGCTGGGGGTTGTGGTGGGTGACTGTAGTCCCAGCTAGTTGGGAGGCTGAGGCAAGAGAATTACTTAAGCCCAAGAGTTTGAGGTTGCTGTGAGTTGTGACGCCACAGCACTCTACCCAGGCCACAGCTTGAGACTCTGTCTCAAAAGAAAAAAAAAAAGTAAACCTCCTAAGTGTCCTTGCTGACTACACAATTAAGCACTACCTAGAAGGGCAGGTCAATCTGTCTAGCTCAATACTAACCTACATTTTCAGTGACCTCCCTATACATTCTGCCTCTAGCCACTGAGTCCTGCTATTCCCAGCACACCTTCTCACAGGTGTCGGCAGCCGCTGCTCCTCCCCCCTGCACTCGTAGAACACTTACTTGTCTTCCAACTGTACCGTAACATCCAGCCACTATCTGGGAGAACAAATGCTCTGAGTGTTACGGTCACACGCACTGCAGCCCGACGGAGGCCCTCCCCCAGGAGGAGGCCGCTGGGCAGGGCAGGGGCACCGCTGCTCCCCGTAACATCAGGCAGTCCAGCACTTGGGGGCCTGAAGGGGGAAAAGCTTTGGGAAGGCAGGGGAGGCCTTGTGGTCACCAAACTCCCAGGCAATACGCATGACATAAAAATGATATACTGACAGAAAAAGTTTTGTGAGAGCTTTAATGGCACAAAATGTTTATAGCTACAAGTTATACATGTATTGTAAACTGTATATAATGATACAAAGTGCTAACTAGATAGATGAAGAATGCATAATCACTTTGGCTCAGTTAATTCCGATAATTTCTACAACTGGTTCATTTAAAAATTTATCTGTCTGGCTAAGTCTTCGATTTTCATTTTTTAGAATAGTAAATATTTTTACTGCAAATCAAGGGATCTTGTTGCACTTTTCAATGTGCAAGTTTGTGCAGTTCTGCTTTTGATTCTATTTACAAATATACTAAGCTAGTTTTCATGAAACATATGAAAAATGAAGCCTACCTTTTTGTCCCCCAATTGTAAACAGGTGTAAAGCTTTTTAAACATTAATCTTAAAATTTCAACTGTTACTTGTTGAATTCTCCTTTCCACTCATACAATCTGTTTCTCTGCAACACAAAGTTAATTAGGAGCAAAAACATTCATCCCCTATGTTAGGGCTATCGATAAACCCTGCACGACCTCATCTTCTGGTGAGTTCCACTGGGATGATACAGTCAGGTTTTAAGGAATATTCCATAATTTCACAGATACTTTAAGAAAAAGGCAAAAACCAAACTTATTTTCAATGTTGAAAGAAATAAATATGCCCAAGTTCAACTGCACTACTGACAGAACTGCTAGTGAATTTGGAAAGAGTGCAATGTGCCGCTTGTAAAAAGTTGCTTTTAAAGCCTAGTTTTACTTTTCTTTCCCATAATACCAATTGCAATACAAATTACATACTGTAGAAGTTTACCTATTTGGTTCTCTTAACTTCACTAGCCTTTCCAATTTTACTCATGTTTTTCAAAATCAGTGGGCCATCAGATTCATTTCTTCCCAAAGAAATGCAAATATGAACACTTGAAATAAATAGGTTATCAAAGGCAAATCAAGTGTTACCAGGTTCAAGAGTAAGACAGAAACAAGTGTAATAAAAAGCTATCCGAAACCATTACGACATCAAGTGCTAGAGTGAAAAATGAAACTCAGTGAACTAGTTTTGATATATCATCTTTTTTAAAGATAGCTGGCTATATTCTTGAAAAAAGATAGAAACGCTTTTTGTTTATTCTGTATGCTACTTCCCACCATAACACATTAATTTTATAAACCTTGATGTCAGAAGTAAGAGTTAAATCGTTTCTGCAAACTGGCAAACCTGGTCGTCATAGTGTCTGTATTCAAGCCAATGGTGCACTTCATAGATTGCTAGTTTTAAAATTAACAATGCCTTCCTAAATACTCAACAGCAATGTCTGCATCATAAAACAGTATTTATATATAAAACATATAGTAGTATCCTCCAGAGTTATGCTGTGTGCTCTGAAATCCAATAAGATCTACTTGAGATAACTGGTAACCCTAGTACTTTCTAACAATTTGGTCCTAAAGCTTCACATTTTAAAAATGAACAAAGTAGTATACGACTGAAGGAATCTGTAGAGTGTTCTGGAATTTCAAGAACTTAACAAAACTGAAAAGATGGCTACATAAGAAAATCAACAGTGCCTGCAGGATCACAGGAATCACCAGGGGAAGACTACAGAGTAAACGTTACTGAGGGAGGGATCAGAAGGAAACAAATGGCATCTTTTCGGAACCTTGTCAAATGTTCCCACAACCCAAGTCTGTTTTTCAAAGTTGCACAAGTGCCTGGAATAACTCTGAAACAGTCATCTCTAGAGTTTAAAGGCTTCAGAGTGTTAAGTGATGCTTCCTAAAACAAGAAGCCTGTATTAACACTACAAATTGGAACACATTCCAAAGCCTATTCTATAAAGAAAAAAAAGGAGAAATAAAAACATTTTTAGAGAAAGTCATGAAAAATTCATGTGCAGCTAATAAACATAAAAATACTAAACACACACACAAATCTCAAAAGCAATTTCATATTTCTAGGCCTGAGACGTTCCTTATCAGAAATAAAAGATTCTACACCATAGAAAAGACAGCATTGCGACGACTAGTATTAAACTCTGCTGATATATCCTAGTTCTTATCCTATCTCCTACCTATCGTTTATATAGCTTGCCTCCTATAAATGAAAAGGCGCTATCACTAGGAGGCTTAGACAAAAAAGTGGCTCCACAGCTGGTTTAAAGTAATTTTTTTATTGCCCAGGATTTTTTTCTTATGTTTTGCTTTTTTTGTTTTTGTTTTCTTTTCAATAACTATAAATTCAAGCTTAGAGAAGCTTGCCTTTGTCTTTAAAAAAAACAAAACAAAACAAAACAACAACAAAGCTTTTTTTATACGATTTGCTAACCTGATCTCATTTTAAGGGGAAGATATTTATACCATGAATGATATAGGTCTCAGTCTGGGGACACTAACTGGAGATAATAGCATCACTGACAAAATTATAATTTGCTGGTGGCATTTACAGAAAAGAAGCCCTTGCAAATTTCTAAACAACAGTAAACTCTGTTAGGAAATTCTAAAGTGTCTTATAGGCCAAAAAGGGAATAAGGTTAGTAAAATGCTTCAACAGAGTTTGAATAAAATACTGGATCTGAGAGTTACTGGAATTGGATATGTAAAAATAGGGTGGTAGGTTGGGTCATGCTTACAATGGTCTCAAGTTCAAATAAACTACTGTGACAATACACCACTTCACAGGTCACACGCATTTCCAGGACTTTTCTCTCCCTCAGTAGGTGCTGGCAGAAGGGCTGCTCAGTCGTTTTCCAATATAGATGCTGAAAGGAAGCAGAGCGTATCATGTTTGATCTGTTCCAACAGTTCTGCACCCAGATTGTCCATAGGCTGAACTCTATTTAGTAACTAAATTTGTCAGTCCTTGTAAAAAACTCTAAAGGTACATGCATAGTGTCTTGACACCCTGAAATTATTGCTTTCTTAATTAAAACCAGTCAGTAGCCCAGCCAAACTGGTTTGATATAATTCTGCTTAGCCATGAAGTCAGGACTGGAGAGCCCGGGCCAGTGATTACACATGGTAAAGCCAGAGAGAACAGAGGCTGCCCAGAGTAGAGCAGAGCCTGCCTCCTCTGAGATGCTCCTGACGGTGGGCAAAACGTTCTGCTGACATTTCAGATACAAAAATATAGTAATATGCTAAACTGTTAGTGCTCTATGTGGAAAAAAAAACTAGAGCTGCCAGTGCTTTGAAGACAGCTCCTACTGAGAACTCTGAAGGATCAGAAGCCTAGTTTTACTTCCCCACACAAAACGAGGAATGGGCCTCTTCCACAGCACAAGCAGAAGGGAAGTTAAGGAAAATAGGTAACTAGCTCCACCACCAGTGCAGTGAAAGCAAACAAGTTTTTAACTCTTTTTACATTCATGTATATCAAGAGTTAGACTTATTAGCAAGAGGATTAATGAAAAAGAATTTGCAAAGTACAAAAACCAACCTCTTGAGGGCAAATGAACGACCATGCAGTCAGCCATGTGTTAAACTCCACCCCGGCCCACACGGCACTACGGTGGCACTTACACAGTGCCCGTCCTCACGCGGTTTGTGATCAGTTACCGTCCTGGCCCTCACAAAGGCAGATCAAGAACTCAAGAGTGACAGAAAGGGCTGGTGGGAAGCCGCACGCACATTTTTGTGTGCATGACTGGGACTCTCCCCCTGACATGCTGAGCAACTCAGAGGGAAGGTACAGGATGATCCATCTTCTGCAGATGATACACTGAAAATTACCCATGGCCATGCTTACAGATCATACAGATATCACTTGAAAAAAGTTAAAGCTACCCCGTAACTCCTAACATCTTTTAAAAGTGTATTTCCATAATTGTTCAAATGAAGACAAAAGCAATTCATTTAACCCTTTCCAACCCAGTTGTTTTATTTTTTTTGGCCGGGGCTGGGTTTGAACCCACCATCTCTGGCATATGGGGTTGGCGTCCTACTCCTTGAGCCATAGGTGCCGCCTCCAACCCAGTTTTTCTGCCACCCTCAGACTCCCTAGCGCTTATTTATTTGGGCAGGAAAGAGGTTGGTAGATTTCTTGTAATTATCCTACAGTTTTAAAAGAGAAAAACATAAATATGAAATCACCTGATGATTTTATCTATTTTAGGTTACATAAAAAAAGTGTTCTTGTTTATTTTTGTTTATAAACAACAAAAAAGTCATCCTGTCAGACAAAGTCTGACAAAGGATTAGAAAGGGTTAAAATGTGCCTAGAAAGTTAACCAAATGCCAGTGAATATGAGGTCAATTTCAGCAGAAAATACCACAAAGTTAAGAGAGAAAAAAATAGTACCAACCAATTTATCAATTTCACTCAAGACTATTTGATGTTAATAGTTTATCACACATGGGGAAAAAAATACTATCGCCAGCCCCAAAAGTTACATGTTAAGTAAAGATTAGTTTACTTTATAAATTGAGATTAGCTAATTAAACAATGCCCCCAAAGAAAAATCAATTGTAGAAGAGTCCACTTAAAAATTACCATGTAAAGGACTAACATGAACATCTTATTTTCAAATAAGACTCTGCTATGAAAAAATGCTAATTTACAAACCAATCATGTACCAACTTTAATAATTCTTAAGTTCACCTTATTTGCACCAAAACAATAAATGCAAAGCAATACCAACTGCTTTCACATACATTTCTTACATATGAAAATGAGGATAAAATGAACGGAAAAAAACTTTAGAAGTTCAGAAGTACTTACCCCAGCCCCAAAGCCAGAACGTGAGAGAGGAAGAGGGATGGAATGAACACCTTCAGGAACTCCGCAGAGAAAATGCCCCCTTTCTTCATGGCTCCACTTTTCCTCATGCTTAGAGACACAGAACGCTTAGGGTGCCTGAAGTGGAACTCCCTAAAAATAAAATTCAGATAAATGCACTGGCTGAACATCTCGTGGGCATTACCAGCTCACTGTGTCTAAACATGTGCAGCCCGACTGTGGCCTGTTCCTGACACGAATGTGCGGAACTCACTTGGGGGGAATGTTTTCAGGTCTGCTGGACCAGTCCGATACCCAGGCTGCACTTTTCTTCAGAGCCTCAACTTCCTTCTCTCCTTCTACAACTTCTTCTTCTGACTGTAAAGAAAAACCCAAACTTAAAAACAAACGAACAAACAAACCTGGAATATGAAGACAAATCTGGACAAAGGATATACCATGTTTCCCCAAAAATAAGACCTACCCAAAAAATAAGCCCTAGCAGGATTTCTACGCATTTGTTAAATATAAGCCCTTCCCCAATAATAAGACCTAGTGATGGGCGTGGCTACGCAGCGTATCTGTATAGCCATGCCCTGCATTTTGGATCGAAGAGGAAGACATCCTCTGAAAATAAGCCCTAGTGTGTCTTCTTGAGAAAAAATAAATATAAGACAGTGTCTTATTGTTGAGGTAACATAGTACAAAACTCATAAGCTTGTAGATCAATAATTTTTATGTAAAAAACATGCTATTTTTCTAAAAACACTGCGAAAATGATCTAAGATCAGAGTCTTTAATATCTTTGTTTTGTTTTGATTTCAAACTGATATGAGGTTATGAAGGTTTAAGTTACACGGTTTTCATTTCTAAGGTAAAGTTCAAGTTGTAGTTGAGTCCTTCATCCAGGAGGTGTGCTGAACACCCCTACATTGTGCACGAGGTGAGATCCCACCAGTCACCCTCCTTCCTCACTCCCTCCTCTTCCCTCCCCCTTTTCTAGACTATACTTGTGTTTTTTACTTGTCTTTTTCTTTGTGTGGGCTTGCAGTTTATATACTGGTTTCATATTAGTATTGAGTACACTGGCTACTTTTTCCTCCATTCTTGTGCTACTTTACTAAGAAGAATTGCATTTCAACTCCATCCAGGTAAACATAAAAGATGTAAAGTCTCCATCTTTTCTTACGGCCAATAGTACAGAACATTTATTTATTCATTTTTTATTTTTTCATTGAGACAGAGACTTTGTCACCCTTGGTAGAGTGCCGTAGTGTCAAAGCTCATAGCAACTTCAAACTCTTGGGCTCAAGCAATTCTTTTGTCTCAGCCTCCCTAGTGGCTGGGACTATAGGTATCCACCACAACACTGGCTATTTTGTTGTTGTGTTTTGGTTTAGCTGGCCTAGGCGGGTTCCAACCCACCAGCCCTGGTGCACGTGGCCTGTACCCTAACTACTGAGATACGGGCACCTGGCCAGTACAGAATAGTCAAATAGTTATTATCTTATCAATAAAAAGAATTCGAGTGAGCTTCACTGTTATATATAAGCACAGAATATAAAATTGAAAAAACCTGTACTTTGGGATATAATCCTAACTAAAGTGGGAAAAATCTTAATAACTGCTGAATCTGGTGATGTTGACATGACATGACATGACAGTGGAGGTCCACTGTCTTATTCTCTTTACTTTTATGTGTATTTAAAATTTTCATAATTAAAAAAGGAAACATATCAAAAGGATTTGCTAAAAATAAAGTGATAGGGAGTAAAACAAAAATAAGTGGGAGATGTGATCAGGAAGTAACCGCAACCACTGAGCACTCAGAGAGACGTCACTCTAAGCCCTTCACAGTGATTAGCTCTTCCCCTCGTAACAACCCCGTAAGAACAGAAACCATATGGTAATGGCTGCATGGCTCAGTAGGCTGAATCATAAAGAGATCTACCATTTGTCTGATGTAAAAAACAAATTAGGGACTTATTAAAATCCCAAGAATCTTACAGATAAGAAACTGAGACTTAGATTAACTTGCCTTAGGTTCTACAACTAGTAAGTAGCAGGGCGAGTAGTCAAATCCACAGAAAACGTCTCTACACAGGCCCTACTCTCAAGCACAAGACTTTACTCTCTGGAAGGAGATTATATTTTTTAGGCAAATGCTAGCCAAACATTTCCCAAGGTTTTTTTTTTGAGACAGAGTCTAAAGCTGTCACCCTAGGTAGAGTGTTACGGTGTCACAGCTCACAGCAACCTCAAACTGGGCTTAAGCAATTCTCTTGCCTCAGTCTCCCAAGTAGCTGGGACTACAGGTGCCCACCACAATGCCTGGCTATTTTTTTGTAGTTGTCATTGTTGTTTGGCAGGCCTGGGCTGGATTTGAATCCACCAGCTCCAGTGTATGTGGCTAGCGCCTTAGTTGCTTGAGCTACAGGCACTGAGCCTTCCCAAGGTTTTGAAACTACATTAGCCAAAAGTTTTTTTTAATAATGTACGATAAACTGAGTCAGAACTTAAGATCTATCCTATCAAATAACTGAAAACATACCTCTCCTTACTGCTAATGATAACCTAAAGTATCAAGCCAATATTTAGGTCAAGAACAATTAAAATTTCCAACAGCTTTTCTTTTAATAGAATCCCCAGGAACGAAAAATTCCTAGAAGTTATATAGTATTATTTATTCAGTATCAAGCAATATGACGCTATGATCCCAAACCATAGGGTCTTAAGCTAAGAGGTGTTTTAACTTTCATCTTGTTTGAACAGGAGTCACTCCTTGACCAAAGCTTGCTTTCTTCTCAGTAGGCAGATGAGAAATGCAGAGCCTGACATATTCACATGATTCTTTTTTGACACGTCTGGTTCTTTGTGAAACAGCAGGCCCAGGAAGAGAGCGCCAGCCTGCCTCTACACGCAGCCGTTCCCTTCCCCATCAAAGCCCAAATGCAATCCCTGGGGACGCTGGCTGCTCCTGTCAGGGCCCTTCTCATCAGTTCTGCTGAACTTGGCACATTCCACTCAATGACACAATGTAGCATTTAGGATTAGGGTTTTTCCATTGGCTATTGAGTTTACACAGAATCATGAGTTGGCTCTTTGGAGTAACACTGAAATCATCCTAAGTCAAAACAATAAATTGTTACAATTTACTCAGAGATCAGTTGGAGGCACACACAGTATCTGACTGTATTCAACACATCGCGGTCATTTCTGTTTAGTTTCCTCCTCTGACCTCCCTTTGTCTCTCTTTAAAACTGCTCAAAGATTTAACAATATTTCATACTTTCCAAAGAGTAAGATTTTATGCTCTAAATATTTTTTTAAACATGATGTAATTTTTCTCTCAGCTGAGTGAAGCGAAGTTATCTTTTGTATTAGTATTTAAAAAACGAAACTTCCAGTAGTCCCTTTGGAATGTAAAAAAAGAAGGAAAAGGAAAAAAAAGAACTCATATAAGTTTCTAAACATACTCTCTTACTTTTCAACTGAAGGCCAGCATATCTTACTTTAGCTGTGCTCCCTCGTATTAAATTTGCCACTTTCAGTTCTTTTTTTTTTTTTTGAGACAGCATCTCATTCTGTCTTCCCGGGTAGAATGCTGTGCCATCATAGCTCACAGTAACCTCAAAGACATCCTCCTGGCTCAGCCTCCTAAGTAGCTGGGTCTACAGGCCTGCACCACCATGCCTGGTTAGTTTTTCTATTTTTAGTAGTGATTGGGTGGCAAGTGTCTCTCTCTTGCTCAGGGTGGTACTTTCAGGCTTTAAAATTTTTCTCCAGTTCTTGGATTTCCAATATGGGTAAAAATTCATTTACTCTAATTACTTACGATTCAAGCTTTAGACTGAATCAATAACCCTCCCTCTATACCTTTATCTATTTGAAGAAGCTTCTGATCATTCTAGCCTATTGTCATGTAAGTTCCTTTTTTTCCAATCATTTAAGTTCCTTCTCTGGCCCACCACAAGTACACTCAGTTCTCTAAATGTAAAAATTAAACTGTATACCGTGACCCACATACAGATAAATCATGGTTTCACAAGAGGGAAAGGGGCCTGGCACCTGTAGCACAGGGGACCGAGGGTGGAGGGTTTGAACCCAACCCGGGCCAGCTAAACAAGAATGACAACTGCAACCAAAAAACAGCCGGGCATTGTGGTGGGCGCCTGTAGTCCCAGCTAGTTGGGAGGCTGAGGCAAGAGAATCCCTGAAGCCCAAAAGTTTGAGGTTGCTGTGAGCCACAGCACACTACCAAGGGTGACATAGTGAGACATTGTCTCAGAAAAAAAAAAAGGAGAGAAAAAGGGGACACATTTTCTTTTTTTTTTTTTTTTTTTTTTGAGACAGAGCCTCAAGCTATCCCCGTGGG